CCAATTTTATCAACCCTCCACTTCCTCTCCCACGACTCCCTTCTCCTCTCCACAAGTCCCAACTCAACCCTCCGCCTCTACTACACAAACGGCACTACGGACCCCCTCCCCCCCGCCAGATCCCGACACCCGCGCAACACCCATATATCAACAGCCTACTTCTACCTATCCGGAACAATCGCAATCACCGCGAGTAGGCGGAAATATCTGTGCAGACTGTCGACAGGCACGATCAAAATAGTAACTCGGGAATACCCTTACACGGAGCTGCAGAGCCAAGAGAGACTTTCCATATCTCACGGCGCGGAAAATTCACGGCGCTCGCCGCCAGCCGCGAGTTTACCGACGTCCTGAATTCAACATATCAGTGAGTCCACGCGGCAAGGATCGGAGCCTGGGGCGCAGAAGTGTCCTGGTGGGGCGATAGTGGTGGCACGACAACAGGAAATAAGGTAGGCAGGGTATGGGAAATCGACGCATCTTCGAGAAAGGTGGCTACACGCTGGAAAGACCAGGGTTGACACACGGCCACGGTCCTCAATAAATATCTGATCGCACTAGGAGCTTCGGTGGCGGTAGTAATGCCCTCATCGGCGGATCAAACGAAAATCCAAAGCCAGCTAGGGTACTCGGGTGATTGGTCACGGCCATCGGGTTTACCGGGTCCCTGCCTGACTTCCGGATCGTCGTTACGGGGAGTAAATGGAAGAAGAGCCCTTCCAGGATGGGCACATTCACGTTCCCTCCCACCTTTATATGGCTGGCTATCTAATAATGAGGTTAACTTGTTTGCAGTGCATCCTCCCGCTTGTGCAGTCCACCAGCATTGGCCCACGTCCTGGGCACCCCTGGACAGAGCCATGGCGGTCGGTTGTTCAGGGAAGGAGAGGGGAATCGTAGCTATCGGGAATGTAACTGGGAGGGTTAAGCTCTTAGAGATATAGCCTTAACTTGACTGAACAAGGTTTATGGTTACAGATTATGCAGAAATATAGTACTTGTATTATAACTACCAACAATAATCTATAATAATTATAACCCCTTCATTCGCTAAGGTTTCCGATATTGGCACCGGCGGGCATAACCTTGAATTTCTGCTTTCCAGTGCTCCCTTACACCGCCAAACCAGAGACGATGGATCGGTGAGCACGGGAGGGGCGCGGGGGGGTCCTTGGACCTGGCCACCCATACACCCCCACAAGTTTCAGCGACCTGGCTACGGTGCTCTGATGCCAGGAAAAATGTAATTAATCAGGCATGGCATCGGCGCGCACCGGAAGGACACAAGAAGATTCCTGGACCCGACCACCCCAAAGCCCAATTAAGTGCCAACTACCTGGCTACGGCAGCTCCGGTGGGAGTGGGGAGGTTCAGAGACAATCGGGCGGCGCAGAAACTGCAAGAAAACCTAGAGGATATGCGGCCGCAATTGTCCCGCCCTGTTACCCGGTATTTCCGGAGCACTTCCGTCCTCCACAGCGGGGATAGTGGGAGAAAATGATCCACCGGATTGCCTGTAGTTTGCCAGGAGAAGCCGACAGGAGTAGGCTACTAGTTTTTACCGGCGTGGGAGACCATAGGAACTACGGGGGGGGGCGGTAGCACGTTGCGGACTAACAGGAATAACAAACTAGAGTCCTTTAGTGCCAAGCCATTGAAGTGTGGTACGGAGAAGATGTGTGTAGTGTTGGGCATTTCGGAATCCTCTCCGCAGTGATATTACTATAATTCATGTTCAATAGAAAACGACGTGGTTTGCATTCCCACCCGACAAGGTCCCTGCGACCCTTCATTCACGACCGGTGGTCATAGGATACCACTCGCCTACCTCTACCCCGCTGGTGTTGTAATAGTGAGCCATACAACCGCTACTTGCGGTATACCAGAGGGTCGGGATTCCCATGACGCTAGAAAAACTCAGCACGCTAGACTCAAGTGTAAGGAGGTGTTCTGTCCTCTTTCTGAATAGATAAAAACAATTCTTCTTTCCATCCCGCGGTCTTGCTAGAGCTGGCGTTGGAGCATCCTTTCATATACCGTATCGGTATTGCAAATAGTGTGAGTTGGGAGAAAGCTGATATGGATGCGGAAGTCGGGAGTGTCCTGCGTGGCAGGGGTTAGAAATGGTGAGGAGTTGCTCGGCATCCTCTCATGGTGGTCTTTCTGTTTGTTCGCTTAGTCTCTGGGAGCGCGATTTGGTTTCGGGCGCACTCTCGCTTTGGGCGCGCTTTGGTTTCCGCCCACACAGTTTGGCTTTTCGGGAAAGCACTTCAGCCGCGGGAATGCGCGGGAGTCCCGGAGCAATGTATCCGCTGGATGGGAAACGAAAAGGCGACGAGGAAGGCCGGAGGCTATGGACAGCGGGAATTGGCTTTTCCATTGTTGGCACCAGAGTCATAAAAAGCAAAAGGGGGCATACTTCGTACGAGCAATAGTGTGGACAAGCGTGGTAGTCTACGGAGGGGCCGTAGGACTTGGTTGTGTTGTCACTGATATATGCTCCTGTCTTTCCCGTTAGCTAGTTGAGCGCAACAGTCATAGAGAAGACGAAGAAAAGAGTTTTTCCGCGCTCGTAGTCGTGCAATCGTTTTCGTGTGAGATCTTTGCGTTTCGTCTTGTGGTCCCCGTTGTGCCCCATTGGTGCCTTTTCAACATTCACCGCTTTTCGTTTAGTCTAATTTCACAGCGCTTCATTCGTTCGTTACCCCGTTCATTTGTTAGCTGGTTCGTTTGGGTGTCGCTACAACTACACCGATCCGGCGCCCAAAGCCAAGAAACACACCATCCGTGTTAAGACAATGCATGGAGGGCTTTCGCATAGTGAATTTTGCAAGCTTGGACAATATTTTCCACGCCTAACCACAAATAAGTCTTTCGGCCATCTATTCTGTTACTACCCACGGAGGCCTGGGCCTGCAATACCGGGGGGTCTTGTTGGTGGAGATTGATCTAAAAATGGACAAGAAGCTCGCAGGACATCTCCTCCCGATTAGCCTACCCGTAGGGGCTATTGTTACTCGTGATATCGCTCGCACTGAATTCTAGTATTTGTGTCGTTACCACATTCTTTTAGGTAGGGCACATGGTATCCCGGGATTTTTCTAATCCCTGGCGCACAGACAGTGGTGCAGGGATTACGCGCCCAGGGTGTGCCTCCTCTTTGAATCCTTCCGAGAAGGCAACCCGCAGTGCAGCACCGAACATGTGATCTGGAGTACTCGCACTCGAGTGGGGACAATAGAGAGTAGGTATTTCCCATGGGAACCCGGAGGGACATGGGGTTTGGAACAAAAATCTAGCTCATGGGCCATTCCTATGCTAGAAAAGAACCGTTTTCCAGATTGCTAGGTTGTGATCACGACAGTAAAAACAAAACTCACAATCTCATATAAAACTCAATCATTAAATTGGGAAACCGTTCGGGAGATCGTATCCCACAGTAGCCCGTCACTTCCGAATTTTCCGGAGTCCGGGATAATTGCTAGGCTGTGGAGGGTTGTGGTCTTGGGACAAGTTGATTCACTTGCCATTTCCCGGTATCATACTCATGGGGTTACATTAGTGATAAAGTAGTCATCCCAGCCTCGTGCGACCCCCGATAGCACCTGCCGCTTGCGCCACTCCCGCTGGTGATTGCCATAGATGTGGCGTCCGAACCTCTTTTGGGTGCTGACGCAGGCAGGCTCGGTTCCAAGGGCCTCAACAAACCATTTTCGGTACAGTGTATGAGTACAGTACGGTCGGCGTGTTGCGTCTTGTCTCTTTGCCTTGTTTTATGCGCTGGCTGGGATTTTAGATGTGTGATGGGCTTTAAGGGAGGATCTTTCGGCGAAAGGAGCCAGCAAGAGGCCAAGGCCTCCTCGGAGCATGAGGCAAAGAACTCTACTCATATAACCATCATTTATCGGGCTTGAATTGTATTCTCAGGAGCTGCATGCGATTGAGCACTCCACAGGTGCCACTATCCCAAACTACACACCCCGTAGGATACAGGAAATGCATTTGTAGTCAGGGGGTTGTGGTCACCTTATCGTCTCATGAACGAGCATTTCTTGTCGGGTGAACTTGAAGAGGCATGCACCAAATACCGCCCACTGTAGAAGCTACGACCAAATTCCAATGAAGCGCGGGGACATCGCCCAAAATAAATTCACCAAGGAGTTATAATAGCTATGTAGCCACAATACCCATTGTTTGATTCTCCCACCCATCTACCCCGCCCGAGCAGCTAAAAGGGGGTTGATCTTCCCGAGACGGTACCGCTCTGATACCCGCCCCGTACTGTAAGATTAATATTTGGACTTCAACAAATTCGAACTGCCCTGGCTAAGAATCCTCCCATAGCCCCCTCGAATATAGATAGCTATTTATCTCCACATCCAAGGTAGGGTCCTCGCCTACACATTTTGGAATAGCTTATCGCGCGGGATTGACTTCGTTCAGGGCTAGCGAAACCATTTTGAACTGGCTGCGTTGGCGAAATATCGGCTTCCTCTCTCGTTTTAGATACGCTAGCCACATCTGACTACCCCTCTACCCAACCTGCGAAAACGGCCCGGCTGAGAGCTAAATACTTGAGTACTTGATGGATCGGTGGGATCCCTTCCCTTTAAGGTTTATGAGTTCAAAATATGAAGCACCCGTCTAATAATCCTCTCGGAAAAAGCCAAGCCAATATCAGCGGAGACTTCAGCGGGAATTCAGGGAGTCGCAATGTTTCCGGCAGCTATAATAATAATAATGGCATTTATACACGGGGAACCCGCACACCATTACCAATATCGGGCAGATATATCACCAGTATATGCAAGGAGCGGGGGACAGAGGTATTACCAGCTTTTCCGAGAGCTTTCCGGCAAAGGTCTAATGCGCCCCTACAACTAGAACATGAACCCAGGCCTTATCGGATAATTCCCTATCGCAGAAACAGCAAGTTCACTGGCCGGCAAGATCTCATAGAGTCGATAACAAGGCTCTCTCAGGGGAAAGCACACAACCGGATCGCACTTCATGGGCTGGGTGGCTCTGGGTATGCACTCTTCATTGATATTTCGGGGGTTTACTAACCTTGCTTAGAAAGACTCAGATCGCCCTCGAATTCGTTTATCAGCAGGCAAGCGAGAGAGACTGTGATGTTTTCTGGGTGCACGGGGGTGGGGTGCAAAAGTTTAGGGAGGGTTTCACAGCAATTGCACAACATGTTAGGATTCCGCTAGCGAGCGCCGAGACGGACCAAGAGGGGTTCCTGTTAAACATAAAGAGGTGGTTTGAAGGTTCGGCTAGCGGTGATTGGATACTGGTGATTGACAATGCCGACAACGAGGAGGACTTTACCGGCAACAGTGGCCCCATCTCCAAATTTGTACCACAAGGGCCTCGGGGTAATCTAATATTCACCACCAGATCTCTCCGGGTTGCATCCTGGCAAGGTTGCGAAAGATTAGATATTGGAAAAATGGAGGAGGATGAGGCGCGAGCCTTGTTCTTGAGACGCTTTGATAGCCCGGACGGGTTGAATGAGGAAGAAGAAAAAGAGGCCATCACAAGGATCCTAGAATCCGTACATCACATCCCACTGGCTATCGTTGGTGCAGCGGCCTTCATGACAGAAACCCAAACACCGCCATCCACTTACTGGGCTATTTTCCAAGAAAGCGACGAACGAGCAAAGAGTCTCCTTTCACAGCCATTTTGGGACATCCAGCGGGAGGCGGATATAACTGATAGCACCCTTGCGACGTACTTTGTTACTTTTGACCAGATCACCCGGCAGTTGCCCTTAGCTGCCAATCTTCTGCGCCTAATCGTCTGCTTCGATCGCCAGAACATACCCGAACAGCTATTGACCCAAAGTGGTTTGGAAGAGATAGATGACCCAATTCAATATCGTCAGGCTATTGGAACGCTATTGGGATTTTCACTAGTTACCGCTGCCAAATTTGAGGACAAGACATTTTACGAGCTTCACCGTTTAGTCCAACTGGCTTTACAAGTCTATTTACCAACCGAAGAGTTGAAATTGTGGAGGGCCACTGCGCTGAAAGCGGTTTCAAGGCTATTCCTTCCGGATGAGAACACGGGGAGATATCTTGGTTCTGCATACATTCCCCATGCAATTGTAGTAACCAAAGATTCAACTGATCCCATCTCAGAAGAGATTTGTTTCCGCCTGGGATACTACTTTGACGAGATTGGTTTCTACAACGATGCAGAAATTCAATTGCGTCGATGTCTTGCACTCCGGGAAGAGAATAAAGAGCATGATTGGGATGGGGAGCGTTACCAGAGGGTTATGCACCTGGGTTGGATAAGCATAATGCAAGGAAAGGCGGAAGTAGGCGAGAAGATCTTGAGGGATTTATTAGAGGAGGTTGAAGGATCGTGGGGCCCAAATAGTCACAGTGTCATGGGGGTCGCCCACAACCTGGCTGCGGCGCTACAATGCCAGGGAAAGTATGATGAGGCAGAGATATTCAACCGGCGCGCACAAGAGGGACACGAGAGGATTCTCGGTCCTGACCACCCAGACACCTTAAGAAGCGTCAACAACCTGGCTACTCTTCTGCAAAAGCGAGGAAAGTACGACGAATCAGAGTCGATGCATCGGTGTGTACTAGAGGGGCACGAGAGGATTCTTGGACCTGACCACCCAGACACCTTGTCCAGTGTCGACAACCTAGCTAGCATGCTGGGGGACAAGGAAAGTACGCCGAATCAGAGGCGATTCATCGGCGTGGACTGGAGGGGCGCGAGAGGATTCTTGGACCTAACCACCCAGACACCCTCGGAAGTGTCAACAACCTTGCTATTACATTGCGACGCCAAGGAAAGTACCACGAATCAGAGACGATGCATCGGCGTGCACTGGAGCAGCGCGAGAGGATTCTTGGACCTGACCACCCGGACACCCTGTCAAGCGTCGGCGGCCTGGCTAGTGCTCTGGCAGAAGAAGGAAAGTACGCCGAATCAGAGACCATGCATCGGCATGCACTAGAGGGGCGCGGGAGGATTCTTGGACCTGACCACCCAGCCACCCTGCGAAGCGTCAACAACCTAGCTAATGTGCTGGGAGACCAAGGAAAGTACGTCGAATCAGAGACGATGAATCGGTGTGCACTCGAGGGGCGCGAGCGGGTTCTTGGACCAGACCACCCAGACACCCTGTCAAGTGTCGGCAACCTTGCTATTACGCTGAGCGACCAAGGACAGTACGTCGAATCAGAGACGAT